ACCAAACATGTGAATTAGTGAGCTTGCAATTTAGGTTATTAGTATGAGCTTTAACTTTTATATTGACATGTTAGGTTATTAATGTGAGTTTTAACTTTTATGGTAGTTTATTTATATATTTATTTAAATAACGGAGAAGGGCCTAAAATGTCCCTCAACTATTCGAATTGGTACAAAATTCTCGTTCATTCATCTTTCGGTCCCCAAATACCCCTAACATCAACCTTTAGGCTCAAAAATGCCTCCGATATTAACCAAATGGCTCATATTTACCTTTATTTTTAACAGCTCCCCTAAAGTAAATTCATTAAATATTTATTTATTATGTTATCGAATTTGATTGGTCCAAATTTAAAACATTCTCAAATAAATAATAAAAAATCACATATAATTCATATTTTGACTTGATACCTTGAAAATAATACTCAAAAAATATTATTTTCATGATATTTTTCTATTGGCCTATTTTAAATCAATACCAAATTTATTATAACACAACTCATAACTTGGGATCCATCTAAAATCCGCATCTAAATGTCCATCTAAAAAGACATTTTTATTTTTTATTAATATAAAATTTTCTATTAATTATTCAATTGTCTTGTTCATTCCCTCTTTTTATTTTTTTAGTCTTTTATTCTTAATTTGGATAACAAAGATTCAAACGTGAAATGAACTTATATGTTCATATTCTTTTAATTTATATAATTATCACGGTGGGGTAGGGGGTGGGAATAGGAGAAAAGATTATTTTTATTAGTTTATTTTGAATTTTGAGCACAAATTTTTTTTATATTCTATTGAATTAATTATTTCTATATGAATGTCCTTGTTATTTTTCTCCTTTTTTCTCCCTTGTTTTGTCATAAGTTGATTTTTTTAAAAGAAATAGTAGACAAGATCCAAGAGAAAAAAAGTGGAAGAGAGAGGAAGTGAAGGGGAGGCAGGAGGGGGGTGATTTTACTATAAAACTTAAAATCGGGTCAATCATATAATTAAGCCTATATATTAAGTAAATTATTTAACGCAGAAGAACCTAAAATACCCTTAAACTATGAGATTTGGTGCAATATTGTCCTGCCATCTGCCCTATAAGTGTAGACCGTTAGAAATAAGGGTATTTTTGAGCCTAAAGGTTGATGTCAGGATATTTAGGGGCTGAAAGATGGATGAAGAGTAGTTTTGTACCAATTCAAATAGTTAAGGGACATTTTAGGCCATTCTCCATTTAAATAATAATAGAAAAACATTTGGTAGGTCATAATTATTTCAGAGAGCATTAAATTATTTATTAATATATTTATAGAAAAACATTTGGTAGGTCAAAACTTGGTCAAATATTTTTTGAAATAGCACCTAATTATATATGGTGAACTATCAACAAAACAATAGGCCTATTTAGACGTTTGCTCTCCACCGGTTCGCAATCCTCCATAACCGCAAAACTTTGTTTTACTATATTTGTAGTTAGGGGTGTTCACGGGTTAGTTTGGATCGGTTATTGGTCAAAACCAAAATCAAACCAATTTAATCGGTTTTAAAATTATCAAAACCAAACCAAACCAAATATAATATACATTTATCGGTTTGGTGATTATCGGTTTCGGTTTGGTTTGGTTCGGTTATTCGGTTATTAACCATACACAAAAATAAAAGAAACAATTCATTTAA